TATAGGATGTGCCAACAAATATACACATACTTGTGATGTTAATTGATTTTTTTGTTTAACAGGTTACAAAAAGGTAGAGCCAATGCTGTACACTTCTACAGCCTGTGTACTTCTTTAAGTTCTGTGGTTTCTAACATAATCATCTGAAAGACTTCAATCCCAGAGACATTTTATTTGTTTGTGTAGCTGCAATCAGGTTTCTTGTATTCATATCATCAGGGATTCCCAACCTGGATTATCAGTGCTCTTATTTGTCTGTATTTGAAGATTCAAATGATCGCCAGTGCCTCAATTAGGTTTTGTACAGCATATTTGCAATCAAAACCTTAGACACTTTTCCTTTTATAATGTCATGATGTAAAGATTCTTAGGAACCTAATAATTTTGCAAGCCTCTTGTGCCTAAATTAAGATTTTTTTTAGTTTGTTTTTTTTTTTTGCTGCTTTTTACTGTCACTACTGATTTTGCTATGTCTTTTGCTTAATATTGATAGGCATCTCTTTATGAAAGGATCAAAGGATTACTTTAAGATTGTAAAGGACAAAGTAAAATGAGATCAATTTCAAATACCAGCCAAACTTCTTTTGCCCTTTTTTATCCTTCCCAACATTCAAATGGGTCAATACAGTAGATGGCCAGTCAGATGTAAAGCATAAAAAATAACAAAATACCCTCTGGTTTGGTGCACCCTGAGCTCAGGAGTTCCCAACTTGTCCAATGGCTGTGAAGACTTCCATCTTGCTTGTTCAGTGTCTGGACTACTGTGAAATGTTATGACCTGACTCAAGTCATATATTGTGCTTGAAGCTTTGGTGGCTGCAGAGGATAGATAAAATACAAAACTCATGCTGATAATGAAAGTACATTGAATTGCCATCTATGGAATAATGAATTATTTTTACAAAATAAACACCACCACGGTTGTGGACAAATACAATTTTTTAAACATAAATTACTTCAAGCCCTAGCAGATACTTTGTATCACTTCAAAACAATTTGATAAAGTTGTCATGAAGTTCTTCCCTTTCCAAGTTGCTCTCTTGAGTGATTTCTCTGGATTACTCATATCATTATCTCTGATCTCTGGTGGCTTTCCATTCCTACATCCCCTCTTGGTGCCAAGTGCTAAGGACTGCCGTGCTGGTCACTACACTTTGTAGTGCCTTTGCTTGGGCACTTGCTATGGCATTATTGCCCTTTGCAGCACAGTCCTTGAGGCTACTCTTAACATGTTATTATGTAAATTAATTTTGATGTTGCATTGTGGTTTCTGCTGTTCTTCATTCTGCAATTGTCTTGACAACAGATTTGCATAATCAGTGAGTAGGAATTTGGTTTTAATTTTGATGTTCTGATTAGCTTGATTCAGATAAATAATAGAAAGTTGTGAAGGTAACACAATGTGGCGTGAACTGGTGAGAATGATTGTAAACACAACAAATAATACAAATGATGGAGTCAGGTTCAGTGATTATTTTTATAAAATGTAAGCAAATGCTGTTTCTTGTTTCTGTCTTCTTGCACTATGACAGATGCTTGAAATCTAAACATATGGATTTATTCAAATATTAGTCATTCTCACTGCTTCCCAAACAAAGAGAAGGAAGCTTATTAATTTGTTTTCTGCCAGGATTTCTTGGTATGGAGGGAAAACAGATTCACAAATCTTACTTGAATTGTTCTTTCCTTTTTTCAGTCCAAAGGCAACCGGTGGGCCTGCACCTTTTTCATGGGCATGAGGGAATGCCAAAGAAGACTGCTTATTAAATTCAATGTAGAGGACAGTTCTTGAAGTTATAATTGTTTGGCTCTGCACATATCCCACCTCCCCACCTTTTGTTTCCTTTCTTTCATTTCTAACTTCTGGTGGCACCTGACAGAAATTAATTAAGAAAAAAATAGTAGCAATTAAAAAGCTAGTAGTGAAGTTCCTGTTCATCTTTTCTAGCCGTTTTCTAGGTGTATTAGAAACCTGAGATGATTTCTTTCTTAAGTGATTAAGTACATCTCTGCTTCCTGCTTGAGGAGTAATGCAGATACAACTGCCCTTTTCTAATTATCTCTCCAGGGCAGGACTTAAATTATGTGGGCAGTTAAATCAGAAAACATCAATTTGTACATCTTAAGGACAGAAGAGTTTCCTCAGTAAGAAACCAGGGAGAGAGAGAATGAGAGAAACTCCTTAAACCAATCAGTTTAGGGCATTTGCTGGAGTAGCACTTTGTGTAATAGGACTGAAAGAGATTTAGTGGAGGATGAGTCATGAAATGTGCTAGGAAATGAAAGAAAGATGGAAGGCAAAAGAAAATAGAAAGCAGTAAGTAGGAAAGAAATATAAATGATGGAGTGAAGAGTAGAAAAGTATATTTTGGAGACTAGAATAATGAGCAAAAAAACCTTCTGGGGACAAAGTAATAGTAAAAGGGTATTAGTTGAGGAAATGCAGAAGTTTCTGGAAAAGCTGTCAACCAGAGTGATTAACCAAAGGAATGTAAAGCATAGAAAAGATATGAGAAAATATACAATCCAGACAGCTGAAGAAAAAAAAAGGCAAAACAATATTTACTTTTGAAGTAGTTCAGTAAGATAGGTTTGGAGCATTTCATTATTTAGCTGGCTTGGGATAGCATGGACAAAAGGGAGAAACTAGAGAACCATTGTTTGCACTCCTACTTGACTTGAAGAACACGAGGAACTGCACTTTTTTTGTCTAGGAAAAGGCAAGTGGACAACATAGAGAGTGAAGAGCATTTGATTCTGAGCTTTTGGTGCTTAACATTCTCTTAGCAGCATTGTGGGGACAGCTGCACCTTCTCACTAGGCAGGTAAGACAAGTACCTGTGCTGAGCCATGGCAAAGAGCACTTCTGACCTGCCTCACCTGGGATGGTGAGAGCTGAACAGACTGGGTGAAAATCTATGCTAAGCACGTAAATTTGCATTGTTGCACTAGAATCAAGTGGCTTAAAAAATGCAGTGGGACAAAAGAACTGTTAAAGTTCTGCCTGTATTTTGAAAGTAAACATAATGCTCAGTTAGATTTTCTTGTGTATTTTATACTATCAACATTTCTCCAGGCTTACACACTTTGATTTAAGCATGCTGGCATGGGAAATACTGTACCAATTTCATTTTTAATTCTTCAACAATTTAGTAATATTTCTATTACAATCCTTTCTGCATTAAGGATGCAAACAAGACCCGGATTTGATAATAACTCTTGGAAAGCCGATAAACTGTCTCTTCAGCTTTTCAGGCAATTGATTGTTCTAGATGAGAGAAATGCTGTCTGTGAAGGAGGCATATATGAAATAGATGATTACTGTCAGGGGATTTTTGTTAATCGTATCTTCAGGCAACAGTGAAAAAGATGTTTCTGCACACTACAAAAATGTGCAGAGAATATTATTAACTATTGATTACTACACAGCGGTGTTGACATTTAATGAGCAGTGATGTTTTGGTCTTACACCAGTCTGACTTTCAGTGATATTCTTGTACTCTGTATAGATTTGTTTGGAATAATAAATTCACAGTTAAGCAGGCTTTGTCACATAGTCAGTGTCCATTTAAGTATTCACTGGCTATTTCATGCTGAATATAACCTATGTATATGACCCCCTTTACTCTTATTGCAAGGCAGAAATTACTCCATGGCAATAGCAAGAGAAACAAAGAGGAGTGATCCAGCTGGATTAAGAAGAACAGTGACTAACCAGTTCCATCTTACATTTCCATTATCATTTGCCTCATTTCAGAGATTTGAAAAATGTAATGCCTTTATTTACCCTTACACTTTGTCAGAAGTTTTAGGTAGGACTTTGAATGAACACTTACAAATCCTACTCCTACCATTTCTTAATTTCTCTCAAATACCAAGTCCTTCAATGTCCCTTACTGGGCATAAGTCATGACTCCAGTGATTTCCAGTGCTGTTCTGCCTAGCAGGACCTTGCTGGGGAGTTATTCAAGGGACTCCCTCCCATACCTCTGCATTACAGGGAGGTCATTTTGGGGAAAAAAAAAAAGGGAGAAAGAGATAATGGGTTCATTTGTGTGGATAAGGGAATAATTTAAGAAAGGTATTCTCAAGATATTTCTCCTTGAGCCTTCAACAACCTAAATAAAAAGGGGCAGGAGAGACGTTTTTGTTTACCTGTGAAAATAATGCAATGATACTGATCAAAATGAAAGGGCAGCAACACAAGGCAAATTTACAATAACCATAATTCCCTAAAGGTATTTAATTTTTTTATTTGGTAAAACTAGTGCTACAATATGTGAGGAATGTAGCCCTTTGAGAAATGGTAGAGATTTTAATTATATTGTTTTTCTGGTTTTTTTTTTTTTTAAATTTTTAACTACAAAATAAATATTTTGTGTATTAAAAAATACTCCACTTTATAAGTACCTTTATAAGCTCTGTGATAAATCTTATCTGGTAGGACTGGTTTGGTTTCCTTGATAGAATAAAAGAAAATAAATTAAATTAGTGGTAGGAATTTAATCACAGCTTTTGTCCAAAACTACTTGAATTTCCCTTGTGCACATCATTAACTGCAGAAATTAGGCTGTGCTAAGGCATATCAACACACCTTCCATTTAGTTTATTTCACTGGTGTATGCTGTGATGGTTATCTTTTTAAGTGGAGAAACTTAAATCAGAATTTAGCATCTTTTTTTTCAGTAGCACAAATTGTTCTTATTTGTGATCACATTTAGGTCAGTTTTCTAAGATGTCTATGTTACTGAGAGATCTGCATGAACTCTGTAGGCTAAAGTATTTAATATATTTAGAATTTCCTGATAAACAGTCTTATTCTATAACATACATTATTAGAATAAATGAAGGAACAAGTAGGTGTCACCACAAAAATATAGACTTTGAATGTGTTAAAAGAGGAAAAAATGAATTATTGCACAAATTTCATTTTTATGTGCTGAAATTCCTTCTTAATCTCAAGACAACTCAAAGCGAATGGTTTAACTTACTTTTTTCAGGAACTGCAATTTGAGAGACTAACTCGAGAACTTGAGGCTGAACGTCAAATTGTGGCAACGCAGCTGGAGAGATGTAAGCTTGGATCAGAAACTGGAAGCATGAGCAGCATTAGGTAATGTACAAATTGCTGATACTTTTAGAATTAGTAAATTTTGTTGCTGTTATGAATTATCACCAAAAACAAGTTTGATTTATTTTTTGTAAAAATAATATACACTAGGGAGCATGAGATTTCAGTAGAGTTTGAAAATTTGCATTATGACCTGCTTTTTAAAAAGAAAATTTCTTGCAATTTTGGTTCTTCTTTGTTCAGTAACAAAATAATAGTCACATTTAGAATTCATAGACTTGCTGGAGTTTGAACGGATTATCAAATAAATATATTATATTAATATAATATATTGTTATATTATTATTGTAATATAATAATATATTATTATATTATAATTATAAAATAATTCTAATATTATAATTATAATATAATAATATAATAATATAATTATTATAACTTGTTTCTATGACCAATACAGCTGTAATTTTCAGCTGAAGATTTTTAGCTTCCTAATTGCAGAGATGTGTTGATAAGTTTTGTGAACCTGTTTAAACAAAATTTTATCATTTAAGGTATTAAAAAGTTTAGAATGAATTTTGTAAAGCTGCTGAGCTGTCTTCAAAATGTCAGGCGTATCTTATACCTTAATGAGGAGATATAAGTCCCTCTCTTTGTGTAAACATTGGTTTACTTTAAGAAATTGTTCTGGTATGTTGTTAGGAGGATGACAAATTTACTTAAGAAATTGTAACAAAAGGAAACTGATCTCTTGGTGAATTTAGTGGCAGTAACGACTTTACATTTTTTAGCTTCTTGATAAGTGTGTTTCTTTGTTTTCTCAGTGACCCTAATAAATGTAATATAATGGTTCTTGAGTTTCAAGAATTGAGCAAAATAAGTTGTGTAGGCATGTGGTTTTTTTTATCAGTGGAAGTATGAAAAGATAATATTAAGTATAACATGCCAAGCTTAGTGCAAAGTTTTGTGTGATAATACAAAAGGCATTGATCAAAAATACAAAAAGCATTGATCACTTCCTCAGTTTAAGCAATTCAAACATCCCTTCAATCAAGTGAATGGTTTTTCCATAAGTAAGAAATAATTATTCAGTAGAATGCCAAAGATGTAACAAAAATATGGAATACAAGTTCAATTAAAATAGCATAAGTCAGAAATATCTTCCACTAATTCAGCAGAAGCGGTATGTGAAATTGACCTAAATGAAAGCATTCTTAATAAATCAGATGAGAAATAACTCCTTGAGATAAACTCATATTTTATATAATGTTTGTCACTATCTAGACTTGTTAAAGAAACTATGTTACTTAAAATTATTTAAGCATGGCCTGTATTGACATTTCCTGTGTGCTTCTCTAGCAATTTAAATTTTACATATGTTATGACTGCATTTTAAGAAAGTTATCTGAAATACGTTTGAGAAATACTGAGGTAGCTTTAAATAATGCTATTATTTTAGGATTATTCCACTCTGTGATATGAAGGTTGGGAAATTTCTTGTTGGGCAGGAGATGTTTTCTTGGTGAACTTTATTCTTATTGATAATTTTTTACTTTTGAGTTATCAGTGATATCAAAGTCAGATGACTCAGAATGAGTTCTGAGACTCCAATTATTCAAGTTGAATAATTGGACTGCTAATCTGTCTGTAAATAACAGAAGAATAATGGATTAGGATAACAGAAGAGATTTTTTGCAAATTTTTGACATCTGTAATTTGCCCTTGAAATGTTTTATATATGCAGTTTCTAGCATTTCAACTAAAAACATTATAGGAAATACCTGAAATATTGTTTTGCAGAAGATAACATTGAAAGCTTACAAGTTAGATAACTGTCCTTAGTCTCGGCAAGTGATGTAAAGAGGAAATAAATAATAATCTAATATTGTTTTTGTTGGGTTGTTTTTATCCTATATGTATTAAATGAGTAATCTTCTGTCCAAAAAATTCTAAATCCTTATTTAAGGGGCTTAGGACTAACACAAATACAAAATGAAGTCAAGTATCTTTCTGATTGCTGTGCTGACTTTCCAGTGGTTATCCAGATTTGAGAAAGTTTCTTTAGCATTGAATTCTTTGACATATACTTGATCTGTAGTAATTTTTTTAGGGGACTGGGTCTGTATTCAATAGCAATTTTACTAAAAAGGACTTGAGCACATTCTTTTCAGGAACGGGTACTTGGCTGTGAACCAAAGGTAGAACCAGCTGCTTCTGATAAAACTGAATAAAATGCTTAGACCATGAGTTAGGACAAAACTTGTAAACTCTTCCCTTCCCCAGTTTCCCTGTTGACAGACTGAGCAGTTCATTACTTAGCCTGCTGAGTATTAAAATTTCATGATACATTCCATAAGGAGACAAGTCATGTTCTATGCTGCTCCATTCCTCGGGCTGAAGTGCTTGTTCCTTCTGGGCCAAACCTATCAGTCTGTCACTCCCTTTGGTATGGGTGGGGGGGCAATTAGATGCCAGCATATCTTTAGAGTTCTTCAGTCTCTGATAATTTTAAGCACATATTAAAGAAATGTACTGTTAGCAAATTCTTAAAACTTTAGGTTTCTGTTTCATAGTCTTTATCACTGTTTTGAGCAGTTACTTTGGGGGTTTTTTTTGTTTGTTTGTTTGTTTGTTTTTGCTTTGGATTTTTTTTGAAAAAGCCTTAGTGTTCAAATTGAGGAGCATAGCTCAAGCCTAGCCTACTTTTCTTCTTTGAACACAGCATTTACAAATTGGTCAGGCAATAGACTTTTTCTCAACTGAATTTCCACTTGCTACTGAAATTGGTAGAAGTGATGTGCCAGTTATTATTGAAAGTCTCTTGAATAGACTGGAATCTGTGCCTGAGGGCCTGAACCAATACTGAAGTTTCTGAATCCTACAAGTAGCAAAAATACAGCCTAATAAACTAAATAATGTGGAAAACATACCTGCTTTGTATATACGTTTTTCAGTAAAGCTCTCTCCCTTAGAAATGCCTATATTATTCACACTTTATTACCAGGAAACTTATGTTTTCCCTAGGTAGATACAATTTTGCAAATTCACTGAAAATGAAAGTACAGGAAATCTAATTGATAAACCTATAAAATCCTTAATTTCAAGAAAATTTAAGAAATACCTGGGATGCATTGTGACATAGGTAGGCAGCTGCTGCTGCTGTGTTGGTCAAGTAAATAAAATTGCAATTACAGTTTTCCTGTACAGCTATTGGTGTTAGATGTAATTTAGGTGACTTATTGTGAAAGGATATATAGTAGTCTTTGTAGATATTTAATTTTAAGGATTGACAAATCCAGTAGCCTTATAAGAGGTGAGGCTGCTGGAACCTAGACCTGCACGGAGTGGAGAAATGGGCTGAATCAAGTTGAAATTCGTAAATGATTTGCAAATGCATCTGGGATGGAGTATCCCCTTCTTACAACACGGGCAGGGATAGAAAACAGCTTTGCAGAAAAAGACCTTCAGGACCTTGGAGGTCTTTTCCAAACTAAATGATTCTCTGAATTACTGTGATACCTCTCTGAGTCAGCAGTGTGTCCTTGCAGCAAAGGCCACCTGCACCTTGGGCTGCAGCAGCAAAGTTGTGGCAAACAGATCAAGGCAAGTGATTCATCCCTTCTGTTTGAAGCTCTTGGGGATACACCTTGAGTGCCCTATCCAGTTTTGGGCATCCCACTACAAGGAAGACATCAGCATGCTGGAGCTGGTTCTGTGCAGGACTGCCAGGAAGGCAGGTGGCTGGAGAGCACCTGGGGTGTGGAAACAGGCTGAGGAAACAAGAGAAGGGTAAGGTGGGGCCAGCTTCTGATTGCAACCGGGTAAAGGAAGGATGTACAGAAGATGGGACAAGAGTGTTCTCAGAGGTGCATTGGGGTAGAATGATAGGTGACAGATGGAAGATGGAACACAGAACATTCTAATTAGGTATAAGGTGTTTTTCAGAATCAGTTTGGTTAAACATTGTCACAGGTTGCACTGATAGATTCTAGAGTTTCCATCTCTCGAAATAATAATGACTTTTTGTTCCCATCTAAATTTTCCTGTGTTTTTTATTAGTATTTCTTCATAAATCCAGGGAATAGAGTTATATTAGTATTCTAGTATTCTTTTTTTCCCCCATCAAATTACAGGCTCCCCATAGTGGTCATAGCATCAAGGCTGCCAGAATGCAAGTAGTATTTAGATAAGTCAGGAACATGGTCAGATTATTGGGGCTGTCCTGTGCAGGGCCAGGAGTTGATGATCTTTGTGGGTTTCTTTGACTCAGGATATTCTATGATTCTATTCAAGTATTTCAGAAAAAAACCCTCTCTTATCTGAACTGGGGAATGTGTTTGCTTTTGCTGTGAATGTGTATATTAAAATAAGAATATAGATATTAAAATGAAGTTGAAAAATACATGGTTAGCATGGATTCTGGAGCAAAATATGAGCCAAAAGGCAAAGGTATGTTTGTCATATTATGAGGATAGGACAGAGTTTTTTTAATGCAAAGAGTTTCGTCAACAGTCCTGTATGAAAAACACTGCAAGTTTAAAGTAAAATTTATACACCATCATACATATAGAACATACATTTTGATACATATTAGAAAATAGTTTAGACTGCATTGTGGTTCTTTGTCAACTCAAGATTTATCAGTTAAATGTGTTAAATTTTTCCACATTGGTTTGCTTACAGCAATATCTCCAAATGCTACTAGGAAGCTTCTAACTTGAAAACAATAATTTAAAAATCCTTTTAATTAAATGTAAATTAGAAAGCTAACTTTAAAAAAAAAAAAAAGTCAACAATTATTGCAGAGCAGTATTAAAAAGGATCAGTGTTTTATCATTACCTATGAAAATGCCAATTATAATGTTTGTACTTTTTTTAAAAAAACAAGACAATAGCATGGCTATTCTTAGCAGGATTTTAAAAAGTGATGTTCTTTAAAGAGATGGGCATTTCACCAGTGGGAAGAGAAGATTTTACTAAACTTTTGTCAGCATATGCTGTAGCTCAAAATTAATCTCATTCTGCAATGTGTGTTTGCTTAG